CGGGCGGGGCCTGCCACTGCGGCTCCTCGGATCCCGGGGTCAGAGCCGGGTGACAGCGCCCTTCAGGGGTTCTCGGGCTGGTTTGGCCAAGACCGGGGAGGGAGGGACCAGTGGGAAGGGAGTGGCCGCCACCCACCTGTCCCTGCCTGGGCCAGCTCAGCTGGGGCCGTGGGACTGCCGAGGCCCCGTTTGTGAGTCGGAGCGTGGAATGGGTGAGTGTCTGGGGGACCGGCCTGCTGTAAGTGAGGCGAACCCTCTTCTGGGTCTGGAATGTAGGCAGGGTTTTCTGTAACAAACCCCGTTAAGCCCACTGAGGGAGAGTTGGCAAAGCTCATCTTAGCAAGAGGAAGACTTTGATTGCAGGAATCTGATTGCAGAGTGTTTCGGAATGAATCGAGAGGAAGGACAGGGCTGTGAATATCCTTCCTGGGAGGGAGATGGCTGGACCGGGCGGACACTGCAGCGTGGAGGGTCAAGTGCCTGCCCCGCGGAGCCTCTGTGCTGTCCTGGAGGTCACTGTGCTGCCTGGAGCCTCAGGGGCCCCGGTGTGCAGAGTGACAGCAGGGCTGACTGAGCTCGCTAGGCCGTGGGCTACGGGGGCGACAAGCAGGCTGGGTGGGAGAGCCCAGGGAGCCTATGGAGGTGTCTTCGAGGGGATCCTGGCAGCGTTCCCACTCTCCTCGTCAGATTCCTGGCCAGGGAGCTCCAGCTCCACAGAGAGCCCCCCAGGGTGGGTGGGTCCTTGCTGTTCCCTGAGCCCAGTCCGGCAGACAGAAGCCGGCTTGCACGGAGCGTGTGGGAGGGTCCAGGTGTCACTCGGGTCTGGCCCGCCGCCCCTCCGCACCTGCCGAGCCTGTCAGGGAGCTGGGGCGGCACTCACAGTACAGGTCTGCCTCCCTCCCAGGCCATGGCGTCCCCCAAGGTCGAGGCTGCCATCAGGGAGAGACACAGGATGGCGGAGTGCCCCACCTGGGAAGAGGGCACGGGGCAGCTGCTCTACGTGGACATCAACGCCAGGAGGGTGTGCCGCTGGGACCCGCTCTCCGGGGAGGTGCAGGCCGTGGGACTCCGTGAGTGCAGGGCCCTGCGGGGGTGAGGACTTGGTCCCCGCCTTCCCCACGGTCACCAAGGAGGGCCGGCTGGCGTGACAGTGGGGTGGAGGCACAGGGGTTACAGCTTGTGAGCACTGCCGGGAGGCTGGGGTCACGGGGAGGCCTGGGGTCACGGGCCCCACGGTGCAGCCCTCGGGGTAGGGGCTGCAGACATGTGGCTGGAGGCACCGTCACATTGTGGTAGTGCCCACTGCTGGGAGCACTGTGGTGCCCGCTGCTGTGAGCCTGCGGTGTGGATGGTCGCCCCGCGTGCTGACAGCCATGGGGTCTGGGAGCACCGTGGTGCCCGCTGCTGTGAGCCTGCGGTGTAGACGGTCGCCCCGCGCGCTGACAGCCATGGGGTCTGGGAACACCGTGGTGCCCGCTGCTACGAGCCTGCAGTGTGGACGGTCGCCCCGTGCACTGACAGCCATGGGGACTGGGAACACCGTGGTGCCCGCTGCTACGAGCCTGCAGTGTGGACGGTCGCCCCGTGCACTGACAGCCATGGGGACTGGGAACACCGTGGTGCCCGCTGCTACGAGCCTGCAGTGTGGACGGTCGCCCCGTGCACTGACAGCCATGGGGACTGGGAACACCGTGGTGCCCGCTGCTACGAGCCTGCAGTGTGGACGGTCGCCCCGTGCACTGACAGCCATGGGGACTGGGAACACCGTGGTGCCCGCTGCTACGAGCCTGCAGTGTGGACGGTCGCCCCGCGCGCTGACAGCCATGGACCTGAGACCCGCCTGCAGGGGCTGCAGGAAGTCGGGGCTCCAGCCCTCAGCTGCTGCACTGACAGGAATGGCCTGTCCCTGGTCTGACCTGGGCTCTGCCCGAGGCCCCCTCTCCTGACTCAGAGCTGCCTGTGGGTGGTGACAGACTGTGCTGGTCCCCACTCCTACGTGTCCGGCCCTGTCACGGGCACGGCTAGGCGAAATGAGTAGTTCCCAGTGGGGCTCCCACACCTGCATGCCCTGTATCCGTGTGGGCTTGTCCCCCAAGGCAGGCTCCTGCTCAGGTGTGGGGCTTGCACAGCTGTGTGGGGCTCACGTGACCGTGGGGGCTCACACACTCACGGGCTCCTTCCACACCTGTCCTCAACTCCCACACCTACATGGAACTCACGTCTGTGTGGGCTCACACACCTGCACAGGGCGCACACATCTGTGAGGCCGTGGCACTTGGACCTCATGCACCCTCTACTCACCCTCACAGCGTCCCCAGGAGGAGAGACACCTCCCCTCGCACACGGGGAGGCGACAGTCCCTGCAGGGGCCCATCACAAGTGGAAGAGCCATGTCCCCTGCCAGCCCCACCTGGGGCCTGCATCTCAGCTGTGACCCCGAGTGCGGTGTGCACCGTACACACCAGGGCACCGCCCGCTCTCACCTGCCTGGGGGCTCAGCAGCAAGGTTGGCTCAGGAACATCCTGGAGGGACAGCAGATGGCCACCCTGGAAAGGGGACACAGGCGAGGTGGCTCAGGAACACAGACGACCCTCTGGTGGATGCAGGCCGTGCTGGGGGCAGCCAAGCCTGCCTCTTGCTCTGCGCCGGACCCTTCCTGACAGCCACTGCACTGTCCCCTGTCTGCACAGGACACCGCGTGGGCTGCGTGGCTCTGCACCACACGGGGACCTACGTGGTGGCTGCCGGCACCTGCCTGGGCATCCTGGACTGGGACACGCAGCAGGTGCAGTGGGTGGCCCAGGTGGACGGGGACAAGCCCCACAACAGGTTCAATGACGGGAAGGTGGACCCTGCCGGCAGGTTTGTGGCAGGTGGGTGCCCTGAGACCAAGGACAGGACAAAGCCGTGCTCCCTCCGGAGGCCCCAGGAGAGGCTCTTCCCTGCTCTCCACGTTCTTGGGGGCTCTAGGGGAGGCTCCTTCCTCTCCTCCCAGCTCCCAGCTCCCAGCTCCCAGGGGAGGCTCCTTCCTGCTCTCCCAGCTCCCGGGGGAGGCTCCTTCCTCCCCTCCCAGCTCCCAGGGGAGGCTCCTTCCTCCCCTCCCAGCTCCTGGGCTCTGGGCATCCCTTGGCTGTGGTCATCATTCCAGTCTCTGCCTCCGTCCCCACCGGCCTCGGCCTGAATCTTAGAAAGGCCGATTGGGGAGGGGCCAGGATGGTCTCGTTTCCAAACCCTTCAGCAATTCACCTGCAGAGACCCGTTTCTGACAAGGCCGCGTCCCAAGTTCTGGGGGTTGGAAGCAGACATATATAGGGGGTCCTGTGGCTGCAGCTGCTGCAGCAGCCCGTCCCCAAGGCTGACCGAAGGCCACGGGGCGGCTGCGTCCCTGAGGACAGCACCTCAGCCCCAGTGGCTCTGCTCAGAGCCTCCCTTTGGTGCTCTGTGGTGGGGGCGACAGGGCAGGGTGGGGGTGCCGGGGAACAGGGCCGTCCCCTGACCCTGCTGCCCCCAGGCACCATGCCCGAGGCGTCCGCCCCCGGAGTGTGGGAGCCAGGGCAGGGCTCACTGTACGCGTTGGACGCCGAGCGCTCCGTGGTCCGGCACCTGAGCAGACTGGGCATCCCCAACGGGCTGGACTGGTCCCTGGACCACCGCATCTTCTACCACGTGGACAGCCTGGACTACGCCGTGCGCGCCTACGACTATGACGTGGCCACGGGCGGCATCGGTGGGTGCCCTCCCAGCTCCCCTCGCGGCCCCGCGCCCTCCCAGCTCCCCTCGCGGCCCTGCGCCCTCCCAGCTCCCCTCGCGGCCCATGCCCTCCCACCTCCCGTCACGATGCCCGTGGGCCGCCTTCCTCAGGACCCCTACCCAAGGGGAGGATGGGGCTGGAGGGGAGGCTGGGGCTGGAGGGGAGGCCGGGGCTGGTAGGCAGGAGAGGCCCACCCTGCCCAGGGACCAGCACAGCCGGGGCGACGGGGGCAGCCCGGAGGCTGGGGCGGGGTACAGGACCTGGGGTCGTGATGGGCAGCGAGGGCCGGCCATCGTCACACACAAGAGCAGGAGGTGAGGGCTCAGGGGGCCGTGCCTGTGGGGCCGGGAGGCCCCGAGCATGCTGGGCAGACCAGGTGCGGGGCTGCCCTACGAGGAGCAGGGTCCACCCTTCTCAGGGCCCCTGCGTGTGGGTCAGGGCCTCCCGGAGACCACAGTTTAATTTGACCACGTGTCATGACCCATTTCCAAATGAGGTCCCAGCTGGGGTCCCAGGTTAGGACGTCCCGGAGTCAGGGCCTCCTTATCCCGTGGGGCGGGTGAGACGGTGAGGATGGAAGCAGTCCGAGGACGGGAACCCGGGAGGGCCTCCTGGAGGCATTACACCTGTGTCTGGGCTCGGAGAGTGGGGGAATTTGAGAGATGGCGTCTAGGGCAGCCTCCCGGCCAGCGTGCACAGGGTCCCTGCAATCGGAGCACCAATGTGCTCCCAGAGAGCCGAGGACCGGCGGGCTGAGGGTCGGGCCAGGCCCACAGCCCTGACACTTAGGGTGCCTGCCGCAGGCTCCGTCCTGTCCCAGGGACATCGTGGGCTCCCCAGGCACCTGCTGGCCTGGACACGGCAGGGCCACCAGCTGCCCCGTCCCCCTCCTCTGCTGCAGCACACCCGAGGGTCCTGTACCGCCTGCCTCGGGACCAGGGCATGCCGGACGGGATGTGCATGGATGCCGCAGGGAAGCTCTGGGTGGCCTGCATCGACGGGGGCAGGGTGATCCGCCTGGACCCCGAGACAGGTGCGTGTGCAGGAGGGCAGGCGGCAAGGCCGTGCCCGGGCTGGGCCGGGTCAGTGTGTGCGCCAAGTCTCGGCGTTCTGGTATCAGGCGTCCGGCCCATGGTGGGAGCGTGTACCCCAGGACACACTTGCCCACCTGCAGGGGGCCTTTCTGTCGGCATGGCGTGAGCTCCCGGTTCACAGGCACCATCGGGCAAGTCAGGGCAGTCCTGGGCTGTGGCAACTGCGGCCACCCCGGGGTTACACAGGACACTGCCCTCCCCAGCTCTGGAGCCCAGAGGTCTGAGGCCCCGGTAAGGGTCCCTCCAGCTCCCGGGGGAGGCTCCTTCCTCCTCTCCCAGCTCCCAGGGCCCCAGGGGAGGCTCCTTCCTCCTCTCCCAGCTCCCGGGGGAGGCTCCTTCCTCCTCTCTCAGTTCCCAGGTCTCCAGGCGTCCCTTGGCTTGTGGCCCCGTCACTCCAGTCTCTGCCTCCATCTCACGTGGCTCCTCCTCTGTGTCTGCGTCTCCTCTTCTGTCTCTTATGGGAACCCCAGTTATTGCATTTAGGGCCCCCCAACCCAGGAGGGCCTCACCATAACCACTTACGTCTGCAAAGACCCTCTTTCAGACACGGCCCTGTCTGAGGTCTCAGCTGACACGCACTTGGGGAGCCAGTGGGACGTGGTACCGAGGCTGCCCGGCCCGGGTGGCGAGCTGTGAATCTGGGGCCTGCCTGCCGTGGGGATGGGTCCCGGAGGTCAGGTGGGGTAGGGTCAGGAGGTCAGAGGGGCAGCCAGGCGGCTCAGTCCGGTAGCAGGAAGGCGAACAGGGTCCTAAGGGCCACCGTGTGCCTGCCTGCAGGGACACGACTGTGCACGCTGGAGATGCCCGTGTCCAGGGTCACGTCCTGCAGCTTCGGGGGTGCCGACTACACTGACCTCTACGTGACCTCTGCGGCAGACGGCCTCAGCCCGGAGCAGCTGTCCCGAGAGCCGCAGGCCGGGCACGTCTTCAAGGTGTGGCGAGGCCATCCCGGGTGGCCTTCCTGCCCACGGAGGCGGTGGGCGGGGCCGGTCTTCAAACCCCGGGCCACTCAGGCCGGGTCCACCATGCCCACGGGACGGGCCGTGCCCTGACCCACTTCCATGAGCGTTTCGGACAGCCGTGCACCCTGCCTCACATGGGCTTGGCGTGGCCGTACCTGGGGACACCTGGGAGATAGCCCGGCACCTCTGCTTCCTCCACAGGTCACCGGCCTCGGGGTCAGAGGACTCGCATCCCGCTCCTTCGCTGGCTGAGGCCCCTGCCCATGCGGCTCCGGGGCGGGGCTGGCGGGTCCGCAGCACCTGCTCCCCTGCCGTTCAGGGGAGCCAGCCTGGGCATGGGCGTCACCACTGCCGGGCGCGTCACCTCCACAGCAGAGCGCCGGGTCTGGGGCCTGCCCGGCCCCGGTGCTGGGCCGCCTCCTGGCGCTCTGTCATTCCCACTGGCCGGCGTGCTGTCCTGTGGCTCCCCCCACAGACCGGTGGCCTCTGCAGGGTGGCCCTCCCCTGCCCCGCACCTGGCACACGGCCCGGACAGGACGGTGATGGGTTCATGATTGTCTGCACACGTAAAATCGCATGGTCAGGGAGCCGTGCCAGACTCCTGCACTCCCTGCTCATGGGGCCAGCCCTGTACTTCCAGAACATTCTTTACCTCTGCAGGAGACCCCACCCCAGGAGCACTCACGCCCCAGTCCCTCCCCCAGCCACAAACCCGCTTTCTGGCTCTGAGCCTGCCTGTCCTGCTGTGCCCACCAATGGAATCTCTCACTCAGTGTGCTGTGTGTGGCTTCTCCGTGAGCGTCGCGTGTGCAGGGCGTCCGCGTGTGTCCTGTCAGCACTCCCTATTCCTGGCAGAGTAATATTCCAGCGGGGAGGGGCATATCCGCCCACGGCCCATCACATGGTTCCCACGCCGGGCAGAGTGCTGCTGCGAGCACGCATAAACACGTTCCGCTTCGTCATGGCTCTTTGGGCCTCCAGGCAGAAGCAGGATCCCTGGGCCCCGGGGTCACTCACTGAGGAGCCCTGACCGTCCACCAGTGGCAAACGTGCCGCTTCGCGTTCCCACAGCCCCGGAAACACCCGGTTAAGGATGGGCCTTGGAAGACGGGTGTGCGGGGCTCCCGCTGTTTGGACCTCACTGCGGGTGTGCAGCTGCTTTGAGTCACGCCCATGCCAGGGCGTGGCAGGGCTTCCTAGGGAGGGGGTGCACGGGGGTGGAGCCGGCCTTCTCCACACCCTCACTCACGCACCTCAGATGCACGCCACTGGCCGTGGGCACAGCCACAATTTCCCTTCCTTCTTTTTAGAATTATGTATTTAATTTTATTTATTATTATTTCTAAAAGTTTGCTATAGGGCACCTGAGCTCACTGGAGAGAGACAGAGAGAGAGAGGGAAAGTGAGAAAGCAAACCACCAGGTCCGGGACTCGAACTGCAGTCAGCCACGTGGGCGTCCAGTGGCTTAGATGCCACGCCACCTGCCGGCCTCACTACGGCCATGGTTTCCAAAGTACCCGCTGCAGCCCGTCCTCCGGCATGCCGTGTTTATGCATGCATTGGGCCGTCCAGAGAGTAACGTCGCGTTTGTGCATAGGAAAACATAGAAATCGGTCTCGACTTCCCGAAGACCCTCTAGGATAGCGCCACTCGGGACCCACAGGCAGCTGCTTCACAGGGGCTGGGGGTGCACCGGCACCGCCACCCATCCCGGGGACGTCCACAGCTCAGGACACCAGCACCAATTGTGCAGGACCCAAGCCCAGGGCCCCAGGGAAGCCCCAGGGATGCCCCGGGAGGTCCCAGCTGGCAAGGAAGGTCCAGCCCTGGCGTGTCCCCCTCTGGGAGGCACGGGACCTCCGGTTCTCGGTGCTGCCGACACTGGCCTGCCCGGGAGGCCGCGTGTGCACAGGGCCCATGGCCGCCTCTTACCAAGTATGGGAAAGCCCAGGGGCCCGTGGGCACGAGGTGTCCCCCTTCCTGGCGAGGTGCACGGTGGGACAGGGACAGCACAGGGCGTGGGTATGTCGGCCTGCGTGGAGCTGGGCGTTTCCCCGCAGCCTCTTCCCCTCAACACTACCCAGAGCCCACCAGCCGGCAAGCCCCGGGCAGCGTGCCGAGAAGAGGGTCTGGTGTCTGACTCAGGTCAGCCCAGGGCGTGATCAGCACCTCACAGCTCTGGCTGGTCCATCCGCCATACTCTTTTTTTTTTTTTTGAGAGACTTTTGCTATAGGGTGCGTGCACTCATCAGGGAGACAGAAAGAGATAAACCACCCCCTCAGGGGGGATGGCCATGCCACCATCCCTCCTCCTCCTCCATTCTCCTCTTGGGATCTTAGGCATGCACACACACGCACCCAGTGTGAGTTTAAGCCACCGGGTCCAGGACTCGAACCGTGGTCAGCCATGCGAGACTACAGTACCTTAACCAGCACCCCATGTGCTGGACCCCATCCTCCTCTCACACGGTGCTCTGCCTTTCTGTCGAGAGCTTGTTCGGTTGCTTTCCACGGGAGCGACGTGTCCCCCCCCACCCCGTGGTCGGGCCACCCTGCTTCCACCCAGAACACCCTACTGCGAGAATGTGACGCTGCCATAGGAGGCCTTGTCAGTTTCCTGTCTTCCCCCACTTATCCCCAAACTGCAACCCAAAACACTCAGAAAAACGTAAAGTACAAGGATATCGAGGCCACCTGGTGATGCGGAGGTCAAGGTGCTGGACTCCCACAAGGTCGGCTGCAGTTCGAGTCCCGGACCCGGAAGCTTGAAACTCACACTGGGTGTGTGTGCGTGTGTGCCCAAAATCCCAAGAGAAGAAGGGGTGGCGGTGTGGCCACCCCCCGAGGGGTGATTTCTCTGTTCCTGTCTCTCTATCTCTGTCTCTCTGGTGAGTGCATGCACCCTATAGCAAAGATCTCTCTCAAAAACATGAAAACGTATGAGTACATTTTGTCGCCACTGTGGAAATCCAGGCATAGCTGGGTCATCCCGTGCCCTTCCCGTGGACTTGTGAGGGCTCACACACACAGACATGCTTCTAGAAAATGCAGAGCTGTCTGCGTGGTGGACGCCGACAGCACTGCCCAGAGATGGGGGAGGCCGGGAGGGAGGCGGGGGAAGGGGCAGCGGGCGCTCTAGGAGGGGGGAGGTGCTCCCCGCCTGCAGTTACACATGTGTAGTGTGTCACGTGTACATATTCTGAGCCTCCTGCCGTCTGCCACTTAGCTGACTGAGACCGCCGGGCCCAGAAGGCGCCGTGGCGTGTGGGAGCTTCAGGGCAGCCTCTCCTGGTGGTTGTTCATCTGGAACTCAAAAGCAGGCTGGCTGCCCACTGCTGGGCCTGTCCCACGACTCACCCCCGTTTACGGTCTTGCACCAACACGCAGCTCCCCGGCAGGGACAAGTGCATGACCTCTGTCAGAGCGTCCGACAGGGCGGGTCTGGCGGATCCGGGCACTCCCGGGTGACCCCCCGCGGGCTGAGCTGTCTGTGGGAGTCTGGGGAAGCCCTGGACAATTTCAGAGGAGAAACGCTCTCAGCCAAGGGGGAGTGAACGGGTTTGCTCCTAACCCACTGTGTCCTGAGCCTGTACGGCTCATCAGGTTCAACCAGAATGCCGAACTCGAAGGCCAGCCCTGGAGTGAACGGTTGGCCAACCTGCTCAAGCCCCTTGGCCCTGCCCAGAAGCCGGGGAGGGAGCCAGCGCAGTGGAGGGGGGCAATAAATCGTTTGGGGAGGCTGCTCGCGGCTGGCTTTCAACAGGACAGAAGAAGCTCGTCAAAGCGTCAGGTGATGGATGACCCAGCCTTTATGTAAGGTCTGGGCGCGGGACCAGGGCGGGCACGGAGCCAGGCCGGGTTACGTAAGGACATCCTGGTTTATGTAGACAAGGTGGCTTCGCCACCATGTCCGAAAAGTAAGACCCAGGAAAACATGTCATTACTGGAACGTTCTCTTCCTAGCGATAAGGCGTGGTCTTTCCAAGATTCGTAATTGGAGTCGGCAGAGACGCAGAGAGAGACAGAGACACACAGAGAGAGACAGGGAAAAGAGGGAGCGGGAGGGGGAGGAGAAAAGTCGCGATGATTCTATTAAAAGATGTCTCTTTGTTGTGTTGTTTTTAAGCAGATTTTCGTCCTGGGCCCATGTGCTTGTGAGGGAGGAGCACCGCCATGCTGAACTGCCGTCTGTACTGGGGACTCGCTTCCTCCTCGGACAGAAACACGGACTAGCACTCCTAGGTCTTTGCGAGATAAGCCGGAACTCCCTGTCCTGGGAGGCTCCTTGGTGATGTCAAGTCAATCCCAAACGCCTTGCCCTCGTTTAAACGCCACGGGATGCCATTGTGCCTGAGGGAGGCGTAGAGAGCCTCGACCCGCTGGATCTGGCTTCTGTGAGGGCTTAGCTCAGGAATCCCCAGTCCCTCCTTGTCCCTCCCCTCCTCGGGAACCACCTGCTCTTGCCGCGTCCACCCGGATGTGTTTTTTGCCGCTGTAAGCCCCCTTCTCCCTACACTCGGGGCTGCGGGGTCTTTGAGAGCCAGTGGGTCCTCCCGCAGGGGCCGGCATATTGATCGGTAAAACGCCAATAAATTGAGCTATGTCTGGATGTCCTCTTATTTCTCGCCAGATTGTAACACCTGACAGAGAGCCAGAGAGACAGAAAGTGGAAAATCAGCCCCCAAGGGGTTGTCCGCTCTGTAGCCCCTTCTCCTCCATTCGCCTCTACAGATGTTCGGCACTCTGGCACACGCTGCCGGCATTAGTTTATTTATTTATTTAAAATAATGATTTCTTTCATTTTATTTATTAATGCATTTACTTTAATTTGACCAGAGACAAACAGAGAGAGAGAGAGAGAGAGAAAGTGAGAAAGCAAGCCATCAGGTCTGGGACTCGAACCGTAGTTGTCCATGTGGGCGTGTTCAGAGCCTCAACCACCAAGCCACCTGCTGGTCCCCTCCCCGTGTTAGTTTTAAAGCACCGGGTCTGGGACTCAAACCGAGGTCAGCCATGTGGGAGTCCGGTGACATAATCATTATGTCATCTGCTGGTCCCTAGAAGATCTCGTTCAACGGGACCAGCAGGTGCCGAGGTGGTTAGGGCGCTAGGCTCTGTCATGACCCACTGCGGTTCAAGTCCCAGACCTGGTGGCTGGAAAATCATGCCAGGTGTGTGCATGCACGCCCCCTCACCTTGTTCAAATACTTTTTAAAATTTTATTTACTAGTCATTTAGAAATAGGTCACCTATTTTCACGAGAACTCTGCACTGCAATGCTGTCTGCAGGGAAATGGACCCTCGGGGCTCGGTGGGCACGGGGACTCGAACGGTTCCAAGACTGACCGATGCACGGTTTGGAGCAGGTGAGGTGGGGACCCAGAAGGGCTTGGAGCACAGAGGCACATTCGGGCGAGAGTCTCCGAGAGGTGTGCACGGCAGATCCATTCCAGGGTGACGTGTGGGAGGTCAGTGTAACAGGCTGCATTGCGGGGCCGGCCGGTGGCGTGGTGGCTGAGGTGCTGCACTCCCATGTGGCAGACTGCAGTTCGAGTCCCGGCCCGGAGGCTTGCTTTCTCGCTTTCTCTCTCTAGAGAGCGTGGGTGTCCTGTAGCAAATTTAAAAAATAATAATCATGACAAATACAATTACATAATTTTTTAGAGACATTTTTGCTGCAGGGTGCATGTGCTTGCACCCAGGAGAGACAGAGAGACAGTGAGAAATCACTCCCCACCCCCACCGGGGGATGGCCGTGCCACAATCCTTTCTCCTCCGTTCTCCTCCTGGGCTCTTAGGCACGCATGCACGCGCACCCAGCGTGAGTTTTAAGCTAGTGGGCCCGGGACTCGAACTGCGGTCGAGTATGTTGGAGGCTAGTGACCTATCCATTATGCCACATCCTGGTCCCAAATAAATCATCCTTTGTAAACCAAAGACAGGCTGGGAACCAGCGGTTAACATAATGGCTATGTCGCTGGACTCCCATGTAGTCCACCGCTGTTCAAGTCCCAGAGCCAGTGGCTTAAACTCAGGCCGGGCGCGTGTGCGTGCGTGCCCAAGATCCCGAGAGGAGAATGGAGGAGAAGGGATTGCGGCGTGGCCACCCCCCCTGGGGGGTGATTTCTCACTTTCTGTCTCTCTGTCTCTATGTCTCTGTCTGTCGGGCGAGCGCACACGCCCTATAGCAAAAACCTCTCCAAAAACAAAAGAATGCCCTTGTACTCGTACCGACAAGCCATTGTTGACACAGTGGGTGTACAGAGTGCATGAGCTGTGCCGTCACGTCGCGGGCCGTGAGGACAGGCTGACTCAGCACCCCGCCTCCTTACCCGGCCACCCTTCCTCCCGTGAGCTGTGCTGTCCACGTCGTGGGCCGTGAGGACAGGCTGACTCAGCACCCCGCCTCCTTACCCGGCCACCCTTCCTGAAGTACTGTCATTTGAAGGAAGTCACGCTGCCACCTCGTCATCCTGACACACTCCTATAGGTACAGCCAGCATCGTGTAATGCTTCTCTTTAAACAATTATTTTATTTAAGTTTATCTGTTATTATTATTATTGATTTGACCAGAGAGAGAGAGAGAGAGAGAGAAGAGAAGGAAGGATAGTAAGAAGGCAAGCCGCCAAGTCCGGGACTCGAACCACACTTGGCCATGTGAGAGTCCTGCGCCCCTGACAACCACACCACCTGTCAGCCCGCATAACGCTTCTTAAAAAGGTACACAACTTAGAAGTGAAAATAGTCACTTTTTAAAAATTTATCCACTCATTCATTTTCTTTTTACAATAATTATTTCATTTCTCTTTGTTTATTTATTTTAATTTGATGAGAGAGAGAGAGAGAGCGAGAGAGTGAGAAAGCAAGCCGCCAGGTCAGGGACTAGAACCACAGTCGGCCGTGTAGGAATCCAGAGCCTTATCCACCATGCCTCCTGCTGACCCCCCAAATAGTCACTTTTTAAGTTATTGTGAAGGGAACCTCATCTGGAAGTGGGGTCTCTATAGATGACATCAGAGGCCCATAAAAACACCAATGGCTGGTGTTTTAATGAGAGACAGAGGAGGAGGAGGCCATGGGATCACCTTCCGGGGGACACGAGTGCGGCCATTGTCGGGGGCAGCAGCCAGCCCCTGACTCTGTGTCTGACTCCCTGGGGAGGCTCAGGGACGCTCCTTCCTCCTCCCTGAGCTCCTAGGGGCTCCAGGCGCCCTTGGCTTGCAACCGCCTCACTGCGACGTCCCCACAGGTGTCTCCCTGCGCGTCTGCCTCCATGACACTTGTGCATTCCCTGTTTCTGGACAAGGCCACGATCTGAGGTCCTTGGGCTCTGACGCCACCACCCCCCATGACACATCCACCCACAGCGAGGTGTTCCAGCACACCAGGGCGAGGGGCTGGGCCAGCGGTGGCACAGGGTTGTGGCGTTGGATCCCACACGACCAGCCGCGCGGTGTGAGTCCCGCACACCCGGCGGCTAGGAAACACGCTGTGTGTATGTGTGCAGTGCATGTGTGTGCATGTGTGTGCGTGTGCCCCAAATCCCAGGAAGGAGCGGAGAAGGGACTGCCTGTGACCACCCCCCAGGGCCCTGCTTTACTCCCACGGCCACTCCCACAGGGCCGACCGCTGTTCGAGTCCCGGACCTGGTGGCTGGCTTTCTCACTTTCCCTCTCTCTCTCTCTCACTCTGTCCCTCTCTGGTCAAATTACAATAAATAAATCCATAAAGTGAAATAAAACAATACTTTAAAAAAATAAAACGGGGAAAAGAACCAAGGGGTTCCTTGAACGTTGGTCTGCCAAGCGTGGGCGATTGTGTGTGTGTGGGCGTAAGTGCATCTGCATGTTCACGTGGGCACGTGTGCCTGTGTATGAGTGAGTGTGTGCATGTGTGCTGGTATGTGCACGTGTGTGTGTGTAAGTATATGCATATGTGGGGTGGACAGCTGTGTGTGTGAGCGTGTTGTGGGCATGTGTGTCCCTGAGTGAGTATATGTGTGGGGTGGGTACACGTGTGTCTGTGTGAGTACATGTGTGTTGTGTGTACACGTGTGTTCCTGTGTGAGCGTATGTGAGGAGTGCACTTATGTGAGTCTGTGGCCACCGGGGCAGGCTCTGTGTCAGGACCCATGGGGACCATTAAGCCCTGAGTCTGGTGTGGCCGGGGATGTCACTGGAGGGCTCAGAGCCCACCCACGCCAGTCACGCACTCAGGGCCCATTTCCACCCACTGGTTAAAGAGGAAGAAAGCCGGTGAATCGTCCGGGCCACGTCGCCAGGCCACCCACAGACCCACCAAGTGGTTCTCTGGCCACAAGCTGGGGACCAGAGGGTGTGAACTGTTCCCCACCACAGCGTCCAAACTGCCGTCCCGAGGAGGGTCTTTGTCAACAGCCAGAGCTGGTGCCTGCAGCAGGGCACGCCTGGTTCCTGGTCCCCCACGTGCTGTCCACGCGTGTCGACCACACCGTCTCACGGCCTCCCTGCAGGACGTGGGAGTCACCGCGGTGCGTGAGCAGAGCCGAGCTCCAGCCAGCCATGCTGAGGCCGAGGAGGGCTTGAAAGGGTAGGGGTAAAGCTTTACAGCCTTAACAGCAAAGCAAGGGGGCTGGAGGGGGCGTGGCGGCTAAGGTGCTGGGCTCCCACACGGCTGACCACGGTTCAAGTCCTGGACCTGTGGCTTGCTTTCTCCCCTCTCCCCCCCTCTCTCTCTCTGTCTCTCTCTGTCAAATGAAAAATAAATGAATGAATAAGTAAAAGCAAGCAAAAATGCATCACAGCAGCAGAAACAGCAAGTTATAAAATCCCTCAGGGTATGTCCCTCCCTGCCTAAACACAATGGAACGTTAGCAGTCTCCATGGCTCCGGGCAAGGTCCAGTGACTGCACCCTCCATTAAGGCAACTAAGAGGAGTGGGGACAGGGTACAGGGACAAGGAGCCACGGGGGGTTAGGGGAAGGAGGACAGGGACAAGGAGCCACGGGGGGGTAGGGGACAGAGGAGAGGGGATAAGGAGCCACAGGGGTTAGGGGAAGGAGGACAGGGACAAGGAGCCATGGGGGATAGGGGACACAAGACAGGGGACAAGGAGCCACAGAGTGTGGCGACAGGACCCCGCAGAGGGCAGAGGGTGGGAGCCAGGGATGAGGACAGGAGGCAGGAAGGGTGGTGGGCAGATGCCCTGAAGACTTTGGGGTGTCCCGGTGGGTCAGAGCCCCAGGGAGGACGTGGCAGCCGGGGCATGCCGCCAGGCTCCGAGGCACTTCCCGTGTTCCCCGCAGCCAGGCGACACACGAGCAGCTCTGAGTAAGTGGGAAATGCATTTTACCGAGACGTCACGGCAACGCCAAACGCCAGTCACCTGTCAGCTCAGCGTCCTGGTCTGCAGCGGGCCCACCGATCCATGTCCTGTGGGCTGGGCCACACCTGGGAGGAGGGTTCGGTGCCAGACGAGGTGACATGTAGACGTGGGTGTCCCCGAGGGACGCTGTCCCACCGAGTGACAGCAACGCTCAGGCTCGTCCTCCCCAGGCCGGAGCTGTTCCGGAAGGCAGCTTTAAAGATGCGCTGGAGCCCAGCGCTCACGGCCCTGGCACGAGGCT